ACAATTAAACTTATAAAATTAAAAATTAAATTTCAATTTTAGTCTAGAAAAGGATAAAGTACAGTTTTCGTTTTTTTTAAATCAAATGCTTAAAGTATTTAAATCGGAATTTTCAATTACATTGTTGGCGTTGGCCAAAAAAAAACAAAATTTTTGCATTAAACTCAATTCTAACGGTGCGATATTATAGACTCAAACCTCAGATATATTTAACGGAGGGAAGGCAGTCTATCGCCGAACTATGAACAAGTAAAATTGTATCTATATATTAATACGTGAAGGAAAAACTTTGTATCCCTTTTTACGAAAATTGCGCGGACGGAGGAGTATGAAATTTCCCACACTGATAGAGAATATAGAGGAGTGCAGAATGTTAATATTTTTTTAAATTATGCCTAAAAAATACATTAAATCAATAAAAAAAACCATTACACACACTACCATGTATTTGACGCACACACGCATGCATACTATTTATTTATTGTCAAATTGTTGTTGTTCTTGACGTCTGTGGTCAAATTGAGAATAGATTATATACTTTATTTATATTTTTCGTCTTGGTGAAATTTGTGATTATAGAAGTATAATAAATAGTCCTTGAAAATAGAATCTTATTAGTGTACAAACTTATAATTTCAACTAATTATAGTCGAATTTCGACTACCGGGCGACCACTAGTATATATACAAATATACAACATGGCGTCGTTCACAGCTCCTGTTCCGAGGTCGTTGACATTTGATGTTTCCTCTATTTATCTCAAAACGGTATTGTATGTTGCATGCGAAATGTTCAAGTCTTTCTTTCTTTGTCGTTTGCATATAATTACGAAACACAAAACGTGTTTCGGTGCGTCCGAACTAGTTTTGTCTCGATTTAGCGTTTTATAACTGGAATACCTAGCTCATATTGATATTGTTTATGAAATAGCTCTCGTCTGTTACGATTTCACACCCAAACGATTAAATTGGCAATTTCGGAATAATTCAGTATGGAAATAGTGTTCAGTAAAAAAAAAATTGGCTACCATTCATCCCACTACCTTATGAAGCAAGCCCAGAATTAGTGTAAAAATATGTCGTGTATTTACTGTTGGTAAGACGTCTTTTGAATCTGCTCGGATAGATATCACCATTCTGCCTATTTCAGCAGGATACAGAGGATTTGCACTTTTCGATATCGAGTTGAGGGAACCCGCTCCTCCTCGCGACCTCTCACAACTGGAGACCCGCAAGGCTCTGTCCTCTCACCCCTCCTATTTAGCTTATTCGTCAACGATATTCCCCGGTCGCCGCCGACCCATTTAGCTTTATTCGCCGACGACACGACTGTTTACTATTCTAGTAGAAATAAGTCCCTAATCGCGAAGAAGCTTCAGAGCGCAGCCCTAGCCCTAGGACAGTGGTTCCGAAAATGGCGCATAGACATCAACCCAGCGAAAAGTACTGCGGTGCTATTTCAGAGGGGAAGCTCCCCACGGATTTCCTCCCGGATTAGGAGGAGGAATCTCACACCCCCGATTACTCTCTTTAGACAACCCATACCCTGGGCCAGGAAGGTCAAGTACCTGGGCGTTACCCTGGATGCATCGATGACATTCCGCCCGCATATAAAATCAGTCCGTGACCGTGCCGCGTTTATTCTCGGTAGACTCTACCCCATGATCTGTAAGCGGAGTAAAATGTCCCTTCGGAACAAGGTGACACTTTACAAAACTTGCATAAGGCCCGTCATGACTTACGCGAGTGTGGTGTTCGCTCACGCGGCCCGCACACACATAGACACCCTCCAATCCCTACAATCCCGCTTTTGCAGGTTAGCTGTCGGGGCTCCGTGGTTCGTGAGGAACGTTGACCTACACGACGACCTGGGCCTCGAANAGTAGAAATAAGTCCCTAATCGCGAAGAAGCTTCAGAGCGCAGCCCTAGCCCTAGGACAGTGGTTCCGAAAATGGCGCATAGACATCAACCCAGCGAAAAGTACTGCGGTGCTATTTCAGAGGGGAAGCTCCCCACGGATTTCCTCCCGGATTAGGAGGAGGAATCTCACACCCCCGATTACTCTCTTTAGACAACCCATACCCTGGGCCAGGAAGGTCAAGTACCTGGGCTTTACTCTGGATGCATCGATGACATTCCGCCCGCATATAAATTCTGTCCGTGACCGTGCCGCGTTTATTCTCGGTAGACTCTACCCCATGATCTGTAAGCGGAGTAAAATGTCTCTTCGGAACAAGGTGACACTTTACAAAACTTGCATAAGGCCCGTCATGACTTACGCGAGTGTGGTGTTCGCTCACGCGGCCCGCACACACATAGACACCCTCCAATCCCTACAATCCCGCTTTTGCAGGTTAGCTATCGGGGCTCCGTGGTTCGTGAGGAACGTTGACCTACACGACGACCTGGGCCTCGAATCAATTCGGAAATACATGAAGTCAGCGTCGGAACGGTACTTCGATAAGGCTATGTGTTATGATAATCGCCTTATCGTTGCCGCCGCTGACTACTCCCCGAATCCTGATCATGCAGGAGCCAGTCACCGTCGACGCCCTCGACACGTCCTTACGGATCCATCAGATCCAATAGCCTTTGCATTAGACGCCTTCAGTTCTAATACTAGGAGCAGGCTTAGGGACCCCGGTAACCGTACTCGTCGAACTCGGCAAATAGTTCGACGTGCAACCTAACTCATACATCAGTCAGGCTGAGTTTCTCGCCGAATCTTTTCAGTGGGTCGCGATTCCGATCGAGTAGTAAATCCGTTCGCGATGCAGCCGCTCTTTAGTTGTTAGATCTCCTTTGGAGGCTCTCGGGCAGCTGTTAGCAAATCCCAACACTCCTGGCTGAGCCTTTGCTTTCCCACCTGTCCTGGTGACCATTAATCCCTCATTCATATAAAAGGACAATCTATATCATCATCGGCATTAAAAAAAAAAATACAATCATAATTTTACTATCCGTATCCAAAACTATCTTCTCTCGCATCATCCAGTAGCGACGTCCAGCATAAATTCGTATAGCATTTAATAAAAGAGCGATTCTGCACACTTTAGCTTTCTAAGAGAGTGATTTTAATCGTTTAGAAACCGTAAAACGTTATCCATCGGAGTAGATATGGCCTTTTGATTCGTTCCAGTAATAAATTAATTATATCGCGAAACGATAAGGAGTTGTATAGTTCGCATCAGACTTCTTGATTTAGATGTAGGAACAAAAAGGTAATCATTTTTTTTTTTTTCCTACCTAAGCTGGTAGCTTGGAGCGGCTATTCCAGCGTGACCGTGGCTAGTAGGTGAGCTCACGGGGCTCAAACCTGACGAGTTGCTAACACGAACCCTAGCAAGAGCCGTGCTTCGCAGAATCTACCACCGGATCGGAAACGCGACCCACTGAGAAGATCCGGCGAGAAACTCAGTGGGCTGTGTCTGAGAGTTAGTTTACTCGTCGAGCCCTTCGTCGCAAGCGACGGGTTCGACGAGAACGGTGACCGGTACTTGAGGTACCTAAAAGCACCGTTAGTGGATCGGGAGGATCCGAGATGACGTGTTTTGGGCGACGTCGACTGCTTTCCATTCTGTCCGCAGGATCGGGAATGAAGGTAATCAAATTTATTATTATTGCACTTGATCGATCGACGAGTTAACGGCTCGCCAGGTGTTAAGTGGTTACATCGACATCTAAACATGAATGCGACCTGGGGCTTCACGAAAACCGATAAGTAAAATTTTCTTGTTGCAGAGTAATTGAATTAAATAGGCTGACGTTCCAACTGTAATAAGGTTGTGACGGCCGCCCCCGGTCATTGACAATGTCAAGTGCAACCTACCGTAATCATTTTGAACACGTTTTTATTAATTTAACCTCGTGTATCGTAATTGTTGAAAACTTAAAAAAAGATTATTAACTTTAAAAATTGCATACATATCAAGAACTGATGATGACAATACTAATGTAGTACATATTCTAACTCACCCTAACTTATTGACAAATATCACCCAAAAAATAAGAAGTTTATATTTTAATTGTAGGCAGCGGCTTGGCTTCGCCCCTGGCATTGCTGACGTCCATAAGCGACGGTGATCACTTACCATCAGGTGGGCCGTATGCTCGTATGCCTACAATGGCAATAAAAAAATATATCTTCAAACTCTTTTTTTTTTTAGTACCACCATAAACCACTTGTCAAGTTCTCGCTGAAAGCTTTACTATGTACGAGTTATTTCTCGATTTAATCTTAGGCAGACTCAGTTCTATGTTTAGCGGAACTTGTGACTCAGTATTGACTGAATATAAGGCAAGTATAGACAGCTCTCGCCGCTGAGTAAGCATCGCGGGTATGTAACTGCTTCTATTAATAATAAATATAGTAAATGGCACGTCATTATGGATACTCCTGAACCATTAATGGTGCTTTCAGGTACCACAAGCACCGGTCATGACCTGGGCTTTTTTTTTGACACGTTGAACGCCACGCGGCCCACCGGTGGGACAAGGGGGCCAAGCCAAAATCAGGGAATCAGTAATTTTTATCAACTTGGGATTTTCATAATAAAATTTATAAAATGTGATAACACAATACAAGGCAAGGATACAAGGCTTTATTTGTTGTAGACAAATTGATTAAATTTTATCAATTTGTGGTTTCTGAAAATTTACAAAATCCTTCATTCAAAATAAAATATAGAATAGTTAATATGTTACTGCCATCTACAGGAGCAATGAGAAACTAAGCGAAGCGAAACCATCTAGTGGCCGACGCCCGTAAACATTTTTGTTTGTGAGTGCTTGAGTTGCTTATCTGTGTGTGTAACTAATTTATGTGCATTATCTATGGCCCGGCGCCTGTCTACATACAAACACATGAACCATATTAGAGAATAAACGGTGTTTTTCATTATGTATATGAGTCCTTTCTTATTGACGTCACAATCGGTAACAACCTCTACAGAAGTGACCCAAAACCCACTAACAGATCCTGTGAAGGTTTTTCAACTCACCTATTTCACTCGGTTCAGGTGTTCACCGGGCTATCATCTGCGTCCCTGATATTTATCTGTAAATAATAAAATTAACAATTAAAACTGTCACGTTTGATATAAAATAGATTTGTTTATAATAAAACAATGACACGCGAACGCGGCTTTAAAAATTATCAGAAATAAATCACAATTAAAATTTTATTTGTGTGATAAAATTTATTCTTATTTATTTATTTTTTTCTAAATCGGAATACATAAAAACGATTTATTTGTGAATCGTTCGAAGTCGCATAATACGAATTCATAATAAGTTTAATGTTATTGGTTAAAAAACAATCAACAGAAAGCCCGAATGCAGTAAATTGTTAAAATAATATTTCACATTTGTGAAATATTATTGATTTGATATTTTAACATCACGAGATTAATCTATATATTAATACGTGAAGCAAAAACTTTGTATCCCTTTTTACGTAAATTGCGCAGACGGAGGAGTATGAAACTTTCCACACTTATAGAGAATATAGAGAAGAAGTGCACAAGGCTAATATTTTTTTTAAATAATGCATAAAAGATACATTAAATCAATAAAGAAAACATTACACACACTACATACCATGTATTTGACGCACACACGCATGCATACTATTTATTGTCAAACTTTTGTTCTTGAAGTCTGTTGTCTAATTGAGAATAGATTAAATATTGTTTGTCTTTATTAATATTTGTTATAGTGTAGCCTTGTCGAAATTTGTGATTATAGAAGTATAAAATACAATCATAATAGTGTACAAACTTACAACTCCAATTAATTATAGTCGAATTTCGACTAATGCGGGACCTCTAGTAATTTTAATTATATTTATCACATAGCATGCATATTTCGTCATATTATATATATAGTGAAAATGACGTCATATGTATATAGTTAGTTGTGTTCCGCTGAGTTTTATTAAGTTGCGCGGCGAAGCTTGGTTTAATACTGGTATTAAATTTTCATTCGTATTGGCCAATAATTGGTAACGCTTCACCCTTGATTAGATATCAGAAATCTGTCCTTGATGTGTGTTTAATATCAGTGTCTACAATTCATTTTTTTTGTCTTTTATTGTGAAATATCTTGAGAAACTCGGTTAATGAATGCTTTTTGTATTATTTGTCGTTTTGTTGGGCAGATTTACGCTAAGAATGACGTTTTTTAATTGATGGGCTTACAAGTTGACGACACACCTGATATTAAATGGCCGCGGGAGCCTAATATAACTCGATTTTTCTATCTTAATATAATTTTCATATATATGTCAGAGGAAGCAATGAGTCGAGTTGATTCTTGTTTACATGCTTAATGTTTATTATTATTAGTTTTACGTTGTAATTACTTTTATAATTCCTAATTTTATTTTATCTTGTTTGTTACGTTTTTCTATAACTTTAAAACCTTTCATAAAAATAAACTGTAATAAAAGGTCCCATAACTGTAAATCACGTAGGCAGCGACCAATCAGAGCAGAGCGTCTTGTCTCGAGCGTGGTCGAGGCGCCATCTTCACTTTGGAGAAAGCTTGTATTGTGGTGTGACGCATTTTGTGAGCATAAAAACGTATCGAGTTGGATCGTTGGATATAGTTAAAGTGAGATTGGTGCACCGAACTCGCTGCTCGGTCTAAACTGTTGTATTCTTACAATATTACCGTGGTATAACAAAATATTGTATAAACTGAATTAAACTACTGATAAAACGGCATCCATTGTGTTTTGTGCTCGCACTTTAACCCCATGACGCCCACTAAGCCCACAGCCACTAATGACGATGTCAACGAGGAGAGCCTTTCCCCGACATATATATATTTTTTTTACTACATATCTATTTTTTTACAGCATTTACAGGAAAACATCTATACTCATTTTAAGAAAGACATGCCATAGCACTCTGGAAACACCGTGGGGTTGAGTTTCCAGACACAGATGGAACCTGGCAAAAAAGATTTCTGTAAACGCACTGTGGATGATCGCAGCAATATCAGTTAGCATGAACAAGCTTTGCTCCGGTGGCGATAGGTGTGAAGGTAAAAAGGAGATGATCACCGATCACCTCGAAATCCACATATTACTGGTGGTAGGACCTCTTGTGAGTCCGCACGGGTGGGTACCACCACCCTGCCTATTTCTGCCGTGAAGCAGTAATGCGTTTCGGTTTGAAGGGTGGGGCAGCCGTTGTAACTATACTGAGACCTTAGAACTTATATCTCAAGGTGGGTGACGCATTTACGTTGTGGATGTCTATGGGCTCTAGTAACCACTTAACACCAGGTGGGCTGTGAGCTCGTCCACCCATCTAAGCAATAAAAAAAAACCAGCATATTTTATAATAAAAGGTCCATGTGCGACAGATGACAATGTCGGATTTCAGACAAAACAAGGCCAAATATTATTAAAATCATGCGATTCTGTTTCAAAATTAGATTATTTTTATAAAGGAGCTTCGCAGCTCTCTGTTTGAAAAGTTATCTAATGAAGAATGAACCTGACCACGTTAGTGTATTCACGGATGACTTCCACTGAGTAGATAACGAGAAACGAAGGAATAACAAGTCAGGAAGACTTACGACCACCGTCTGACTTATTAACCACTAATCCGTGCCAACATCGAATGCGTAGTTCAATAACCGTTCAATAATGTGATGACGTACCGACACGCAACTAATATCTCTTTCAAGATTAATATTTCATTAGCAACTGTAATTGAATTTAGGTGGACGATTTGTTATAAATTTTTTGTTCCCTAAGTAATCGTTGGTGGCTTAAGGTGCTATTCCAACTAGGCCCGGTTTGGTAGGTCATTGTAATATCGTCAATATTTCTGTGATCTACTAAATTTTGATAATACTGAAATTAGTTTTGTGGAAGTCTGCTCAGTACTTAACGGCAGGCAGCGGCTTGGCTCTGCTCCTGGCTTTGCTGAAGTCCATGGGCGACGGAAACCACTTACCATCAGGTGGGCCGTACGCTCGTCTACCTACAAGGGCAATAAAAAAAAGTTTGAAACCTTGACGCTTCCTTTTTCAGCAGAAAATCAATCATAGTTATCTTCGAGGACCCAATAAAACAACATAGAAACTCATCAGCACATCTCTTAACGAGCTCAATCGATAGGCGTATTTTGGGTAATACGATTGAGATTTCGCTGTCAACTGTCAAGTGATATGACAACAGTAGCTGCACAAAGCTCGGCTGTCAGTGAGTTGGTCTGTATTCAAGTTAAATTAAACAAAAACAACTCAGTAAACACGTGTAAACGATTGACTCACTCACTTGTACCTGTCTAATACAAAATACATATACACGTTGCATTTTAATTATCTACGGTGTAATAATGTCCCTTTGTTTCAATTGTCACAATCGTGGTTTTTTTTTTTTGTTTTTATAACTATTAAGGACTTGTTATTGAAATTCTTGAAAATTAAAATTAATATTCGACTCTGTAATTGTGACATACGAGGTTAAGAACGTTCCACTACCCAAGATATTCATTCTCCAACAGCTATTATTACTACCCTATTTTCCACGTTGATGCCACGACATAAATACTGCAGTCTACTTTGAAGCATAAGGCTCAAATTTCAATAGTATTGATACGATCAAACTCAAATGCATTGTGGCAAAAATACACAAGAGATTGGTACCCACCCGTGATGACTTTGAATATGACCTGCCATTACTTGGGTGTTCAAGTCTGGGGAGGGAAATATAGTAAGCCAGATAAAATCACATTATAACATCACCAATTGTACGCCATACTAAGCCCTCTAGTGGAATTGTTGCTAATTTAGGAACAAAACGTAACAAACAATATCTCAATAATAATATAACTGGTACTAATATAGAAAGTACGAAAACGACCTTGCCGAGTTTGTCACAGATAGTTTTGTAACATAATGCCGCGTAATAACAATAGGTACCTGTTGCATGTCGGCAAGTGCCTCGGCAAGATAAAGGCCACGTAGTTAACAAGATATCTGAGATCCAGTTACTCTGTGATGCCGACGAATGGTTTTAAAGACGTGTGAGAGCTATGCACCCTTGTTTAACGCAACAGTAGCCGGGGTCACGGAAGAACGCACTCCGATTCTCCTCAAGCTGGAACTGCGAGGACAAATGGTCACGCTTAGACGATACCGCGACAATACGCTTCCCTAGCACTATTAAAGTTCCATTGGACCTCAAAGGAAGTTGTGACGCGACTTTTGGTAATTTCTTGTTGTAAAAAATGTTGCACCGTCTTGGATATAAGTTTTAAAAGCTTTGCAATAACATCTGACTACCTTTTTAAACAATAACGAGTGACTGATAGTAGCTTTCGTTCCCTAATATATTTAGTAGCTTGTAAGTACTTTTCATTATCAGGAACTTCTGGCCAAATCCAAGAATGCTGAAAGCTATCTTTTACTTTTCGAACACAAAAGGAGTTCTGCGAAAGTTTCAGAAGAAGTTTCATCTTTCGTAAGATTGGATGAAAGGAGGGCGAAATCAAATTATGTTTCGTGAAAAATTCATTCTCAGTTCTGATTCTTGGAAACGGTGTTTTGTATATGAAAGTTATTCTTGTGATCATTTTGAAAAGGTTCGAATTAAATTTTTCTTTTCGATTCCTTTAGTGAAATATTGAAATGTATATATGTATATATCACGTTATGAGTATCTTCTTGGAGTCTCGAGCTATTCACGCTACGTCTAAAGGAGAAATTGGCCCATTTATTTGTATTGAGAAATGCGACTTCATTGGGATTATTTTAATTTTATTCACTGTGTTAGAAGGCGGACGACATGTTACGGCTGAGCTGCCATTGCTTACTAAATTACGTATTTACGCATAACTATTATGAAGAAAATAAAACCCACATAATGTAGGGAGTTTGAGGGCGCAATTCACAAGCCTGTAAGTTGAATAGCGACTTTGTATGATTTTTTTTTATTATTCCTAAGGTGGTTGGACGAGCTCACAGCCCACCTGATGTTAAGTGGTTACTGGAGCCCATAGACATCCACAACGTAAATGCGCCACCCACCTTGAGATACA